ATAAAGATTAATTAATTTTTATTTTAAAAAATTATTTTTAATAATAATAATAATAATATAATATTAAATAAATATAAATTAAAAATATTTATTTATTATCTAATTTAATAAGTTTTTTTATCAATAATTATATAGTTTAACTAAGTTATTAGAGTTATAATAAAGTTAAAATAAATTAATTTATATCAGTTAATTTATATATTTTTTTATTTATTTTTAAAATTCTACTTTTGATTATTTTTATTAAAGTAACTAATTTTTATAAATTTAAATAATAATAAAAATTTTTTTTAATAATATTAAATTTAAATATTATTAATTTTATATATATATAAGTTTATATAAAAAGAAATTATAAATATATTTTTTAATTTAAAAATTAAATTAAAAGTTAATTAAAAATTTTATTAATTTTAAAAAATATAATAAAAAATATAAAATAATAAAATAATAGAAATAATTTCAGTAATAATAATAATATTAATAATAAAATAATTATTATTATATTATTAAATAATTATATAAATTATAAAAGTTTTTATTAAAATAATTTTTTAGATTTATTATTTTTTTATAATTTATAAAAAAGATTTTTTAATAACTATAATAATATTATATAAATATATTTTTTATAATATATAAAATAATAATATTAAAAAAATATCTTGATAAAATCTTATAATTAAAATAATTAAATAGTAAAAATTAATACTAAATTTATAAAATAACTTAAAGAGTTATTTTTTAATTTTATATAAAAAAATATTAAAAAATTATATTTTAATAAATAAATAAAGCTTTAAAATATAGTTAATATATAAAATATAAAATAAAATTAAAGTAAAAATTATAATTAATAAAATATATAAATTTTATAAATTTAAATAAATATATTATTATGATTATAAAATTTAATATAATTATAAAACTTAGTATAAATATAAAATTTAATTAAAAACTTTTTTTTTATATTAATATTTTCTATATATTATATTATTATCATAAAATTTAATTCAAAATATTTCTATAGTATCAATATACTCTATGACTTAAAGACTATTTTTATATAATACTGTTACTATTTTGATGATAAAATAATTATTTTATTTTTATATTAAACTATATAAGATGATAAAATAATTATTATATAAATAATAGAATAATTATTTTTATAATTATTTTTATAAAAAATATTTTTTTTTAAATCAGATAAATTAATATTTAAATATATTTATAAAGAAAAAAAATTAATAAAAACTTTATAAAGTTAATTATTTAATTTATTATTTAAAAGTATCAATAATTTATTTTTAATATATTAAATTAATTAAAAATATATATAATTCTCTATTTATTTATTAATATTTTTGATTATTTAAATTTTTTTTAATTTTAAATATATAAATATATCTACTTTCTTAGTTAATTAAATTTAATTAATCAATTTTTATTAATTAACTTATATATAGTACTATTAACTTTCTATCTTAGTACTATATTATTATATATAATTTTGAAAATTTAATTAAAAATTTAAATTATTTTTTAAATAATAATATTTATAAAAAAGTTTAAAAATATTTTATTAAATAATTAAATATATATATTTTAAATATTAAACTAAAAAAAGTTTTTAATTAATTTTAGAGAAAATAAAAATTATATATAAAAAATAAATTTTAAATTTAAATAAAATTTTTATTTAAAGTATATAATTAATAAATATTAAATTTAAGTATTATTTTAATTATTTTATTAATTTTTATAAAATTAAATATATATAAGTTTAATTTTTATTATATATTTAATAACTTTAACTTCTTTTTATTTAGTTATTTTTATTAATTTTAATTATTTAATTATATAATAATTTCTTAATCTAATATCAATAGAATTAATATTTTTTCTTTGTAATTTTTTATACAAAGTTCAATCAGTTTTATTAACTTCTACTATAATAGTAGCTTATTTTCAATTTTAAAATTATACAAACTTTGAATGATCAATTCTTAACTTGATAATCACTTTGATTATATTAATATCATCTATTTAAAACTCAGTTTCATCAATATTGCATATATTATTTAGTGAAATTTCATATTTCTCAATAATATTTCACATATGCTTAAATCATTCACATATTATCACAAAATTCTCACATAACATTAGCTCACTGATGGTCATACTTTCAGAAGAACTTTGATTTTAACTTTTCATGATGATTTATAAAGTTTCATACGTAGCATTCATCAACTGTTGATGGAGGCTTAGATTTAGACTTGATTTCTCATTCAAAAGGAAGTAAATTGATCATATTTCATATGATCAAAATCTGAGATGACTGTTTTCACATATTCATAGAGAGGATTCACTGAATAAGAAATTCTTGCTCTGTAAGACAGAGTTTTCAGTTCTTTGGTGAAGAATCAACACATGTCATATGACCATTGACATGATGAGTTAAGAGTAGAATGAGGAACATCACATAGCTTTGCTGCAGCTCATACACCCAAAATCAGACCTTTATCAAGTGCTTGAATTGCTAAAAGAAGTCCTCCTTCTTGAAAGGAGGCTTGATGACTTTGCATTGTTGATATTTTTAATTGTTAGATCAAGAGAGGCGTAGATATTGAGAAGTGGCTCAAATCACTGGCTCGCTCGCTTAATTATAGATTACGTTTCCCATCGGAAGTTATTAATAAATAAATATAAACACTAATTGAAACCAAGCCAATTGGCACAACACACACGGACGAGGGGAGAGTTCCAACCTGGTTCCGCCGCTCCCCCGGTTTTTTTTGGCGATCCCTCGAACCGGCAGTAAGGTTCTAGTATTCTTAACGCATAATATATATATTTTGAGCTTTCATTTCGTGTGGCTGTATATATGAGGATGGTCACTATCTCTTTGAGTCCAATCACGCACAGTTTTACCTAGGCCATCCTGGGCTCCTTCGTCTTGCTCCCTACTGTTCGCTGCGTGATACTGGCAAATACACGGAATCGTCAGCCCTATGCGACCAAAAGAAAGGAAAAGGAAAAGAGAAAAGAGAAAAAATTCTCCATCAACGTAAAATTCCTCCGGATACCGTTTCTCTATTTTCTAGATAGACATAACCCACCTGCCCAGAGCAACAACTTGCCCAGAAGGAAACCGTCGTCATGGGGTTCGTGAATCCGTTCAGGAATAGCGACATCGCAACGTATCCAGGGGTCCTGATTCCTCTGTCGCGTTCCCAGCCAGTAGAAGACCCGAAACCCGAAGCCGGAGATGTTAACCCGGAAGATGCACCAGAAAAAGGCTTTGCATCCTGGACGTTAGGTGACCAACACAGCTCTTCTCTGACTTTGGAAGACCTTAGGGCTGAGGTGGAGAATGATATTGTGATATCCGGCTATGATACCGCATATGACCGTACGTTTAAGACGACCAACCGCTGCGCTTGATAACAAATGCCCCTGGCCTTTTTATTTTATTTTTCTTCATTTGAATTTTCTCCTTTTCGTTTCTTGTCCGTGTTTATTATACAGCAAGGAAGGAAGGTGGAAGAAAATGAAAAAAGAAAAGGCCTTTTTTTTTCCTTACAATTTCGCTTTTCCCAAGTCGATCCAAGTCGATTTGGTTTACGTAATTGAAGATGATAGATCTAATTGTACAATTGTGTAGGTAAATCAAAAGTCATTAACTTCGCTATTCAGCATATCGGAATGGGCAAATATCAATGGCAGTTGTTTGTTCTTTGTGGTTTTGGCTGGTTAGCCGATAAGTAAGTTGAATGTTATCTAGTTACTATTTCTCCCCCTTTGTCTTCCGTTCCCGTCAGAATGGATAAACTTTCAACGGCTCTTGATTAAGTTTGTAGTCGTTCTGGAGTGATAAAAAACAAACCAAAAACAAAAAAAAAACAAAAAAAAAAAAAACAGAATTTGGCTGACGGTTTCTTTTTTAATTTGTAGTATCTGGATACAAGTATATTTATACACATCTTGGTATTGGGAGGCCAAAAGGGTTGGAGAAGAAACTGACAATCAAATATAGGGAGTTGCTTTGACCCTGCCACAGCTTTCCGTAGAATTTGGTGTCGATGACTCTACTGTCCGATTTACCACCTGTTCGTTGTTTGTCGGCCTCTGCGTTGGCGCCATATTCTGGGGAACTGCTTCGGATGTAATCGGTCGACGTCTTGCGTTTAACCTGACCCTTCTCCTAACTAGTGTTTTCGGCCTCGCTGCAGCTGGCGGGCCGACCTGGGTTGGGTAAATTAAAACAGTTCCTTTGAGCTACATTTAAAGGCATTTATTTAATCAATTGGTAACTAACATTTAATTGTGAATATAGTGTCAGTGCCCTGTTTGCATGCCTGGGTGTGGGAGTGGGCGGAAATCTGCCGGTGGACGGTGCATTGTTTTTGGAATTCTTGCCATTTGCATCAGGAAATCTGCTGACGATGTTGAGTATTTGGTGGCCTCTTGGTACACTTGTTGGAAGGTAGGTTTCCCAATTTTTTTCCTTTTGGGTGCTCATCTTCTCCACTGGGATTTACTAAAACTAATATGATCCATTAGCATGGTCGCATGGGGTTTAATTCCGAATTTCTCCTGCAGTGCAGACGAGCTCAGTTGTACGAAGGAAAAGAACATGGGATGGCGCTACCTTGTTATTACACTGGGAGGCCTGACCTTGGTCATGTTCATGTGTCGTTTCTTCCTGTTCCATCTCTACGAATCACCCAAGTTCCTTCTCTCCCGCGGTCGTCAGGAAGAAGCAGTGTCTGTGGTACATGCTGTCGCATATACAAATGGATCCAGCACTTGGTTGACTAACGAGATCCTTAATGAAATCGGCGGCTATCCGGAAGAAATTTCACCTGATCAGCAGAAGCTGTCGAACTTAGAAATTGTCAAAAGGCAACTTTCCAAGTTCTCTACACAGCGTATCGCGCCTCTTTTCGCTACCAAGAAGCTTGGGTTTACAAGTAGGTTTTTGAATTTCATAAAATCTGTCGGATTTGTGTCTTTGGATAACGATGAAGATAAAGGAAAATACAACTAACGTATGTCTCTCTCAGCTGTTCTCTTGTGGTTCTGCTGGGCCACGATTGGCATGGGATACCCTCTCTTCAACTCCTTTCTACCTCAATACCTTGGAAACAATGGAAAGACCCCCGTTTCAATTGGTATGTCCTCATGCCTGTACAAGGTGAAATGGTAGTTCAATTCTTAACCAACTGACCAAAAACCCAGTCTACCGAAACTACGCCATAACTTCTATTATAGGTGTTCCCGGCTCAATCCTTGCCTGCTTCACCGTTGACATCCCCTATATAGGCCGCAAGGGCACCATGGCCATCTCCACCGCACTCACCGCTGTAACGCTCTTCTGTTTTACCATATCCTCAAACCCAGATGTCCAGCTCGCCTGTTCTTGCCTAGAAGCCTTCTTCCAGAATATTATGTACGGCGTTCTGTATGCATATACACCGGAAGTCTTCCCCGCTCCTAACCGTGGAGCTGGCACGGGTATTGCTAGCTGTCTAAACCGGATTTGCGGGCTGTTAGCTCCCATTGTTGCTATATATAGTAGCAGTGCAAATCCCAAGGCACCCATTTACGCATCTGGTGGACTTATGTTTGCTGCATTTGTGGTGATGGTTTTGTTACCAATTGAGACGAGGGGGAGGGCTAGTTTGTAAGGGAGGAGAGCAGATACGGTACGAATCAATGTTATCCATATGGAGGCATTGAAGGGTGGGTTTCAAGAGGGCTTCTAAGGTTTGTATGGGGAATTTTTCATGATATGACTTAAATTTTAATTTTAATTTTTTTTTTTTTTTTTAATTTTTAATTTTTTTACTCTCTATTTTTATTTTGCGTTCACGCATTCTCTTGATTCATTTATACCGGGATTTATTAATCCTGATGACAGGTCAGTGAAGTTGATTTGATTTCAATGGGTTGACATGTTATTCTGCACCTTTTTTTAGTTCTATATCCATTAACACGCAGCTAATGTGATCGATCGACTGTGGCTTCTTAAACCCATGTGTGTTTTCAAACTTGTTTTGGAAATGCAAATCATATTTCATATAGGTGAGTATAGTCACCCTGCTTGTGAAATATAATACTAATTTTCTTCTTTTTTCATGATGATAAACCTCTTTCACTATTCTCCCATTATGAATTTTTTAAAAAAAGGCAAGAATAGGTAGATAATTAATTGAAATCATTTCCAATATAAAATTATGTTACCCTAGTCTACCATCTGAATACTTGCATTTCTTCTCTTCTTTCCTCCAGCAGAAACTCCATTCCTCAAGTACCCTTCAAAAGAATCATATAAATAGATTGCTCATTTAATCATAGTTTCGGTACAATATCTCCCTTCTCTTCCAAATCTCCATTCTTCTTTTTAGTTCCACTAGGGTAGTCTGTGGAACATTTTTTTGGGGGAAAGGGTTTCCTTTTGAAATGCAACAAAGTGAGAGAAAAATGGGGGGGAAAGGGGCCCTGCCATGCGAACAGTTATCATCTTCGCAAAAGCATAGAAGGAAAAGTGAAAATCCACGTTCAACTATTAGAAAAGGTATGCAACAGTGAATTTTAGATGTGGATATGTGATGGGTCATTTTCCTATTCGCTGCTATCCAAATGGTAATGGTGCAGAACGAATATGAATGTCCGGTCAAATTAAATAGCCGTAAGGGCTCGTGTGGATTAGAACGAACAAAAATAAGAAAGGTTTAGGAAAATAGAGAGAAATGTTTTTTCTAACGATTTTCTTCCTAGCAACTTATTAACGCTCAGTTGCTTACCGTTCGTTATAGGTATGTAGAACTACTTATTAGGTAGGTAAATATCAGTTTCCCATCCCGTCCATACCACCGGGCGGAGAAGAGGGTGAAAAGGTGATCTCATCAAACCGTGTAAAGCAAGGAGAAAGGAGGGAATGGAGGAAAAGGAAAAAGGGGGGGAAAAGAAGGGGCAAAAAAAAAACCATTGCGCAAATAGTTTATCACGAGAGAATAAGTAGAGAGTATTGTAAACAGGGGACATAGGTCCGTAAAAATGCATCGTAAAGGGTGTGGATGAGGGAGGGTGAGCTGGGGACGTAATATGTTCTTTTACTCAGTTTTTCTCATGCCCACTGCCAGTCAGTCTCTTTCTCCGTTGAGTTTTTACTTGCAATTATCAGAAAAGGTAATATGTAGGATGATATAATGAAAAACACTTCTTGAATCTGACAACGACAGTAAAAACGATCAAGACAGAAGGGAACGAAAAATAGCAAGTTAACAAAAAGGGAGAATGTGAGAATGAACTAAAAACAAGATCTAGCCAGATCTATTCACACACAGAATGCACACATACCTGAAAACGCACAAAAAAAAAAAGAGAAAAAAAGAAGAGAAAAAGAAAAAAGAAAGAAAGAAAAATCACAAAATAAAATTAAATCATCATAATTTTCAACATCAAGCAACCTCCTGCCCTGGCAATCGCCTCCCTCTCCTCCCCAACAACGTGGCATTATCCAAACTAAGCTCAAACGGCTGCATCGACGAGCGCGCCGCGCTCTCCCTCGCCGCAGCCACAACAGCAGCACTATGCGTCCCATATCCACCACCCCCACCACCACGTTGTTGTTTCTGCCGCTGTTGTTGCTGCTGTGGCTGGGCAGGCTGTTTTTTAACTGCCTGCTGTCTCGCCTGCGCTACAGCACTGGGTTGTGACATGTTAACTGCACCGGGTGCTGCGTTCAAATTTGTAGACTGCAACTTAGCCTCCATGGAAGCCACGTCGGCGCGGTTGGTATGATAAATCACCCGCCGTGCCTTAATGGGCGCCATGCAGGTGGCTGCATTATTATCCTGATCGTAATAGTACATCTCTTCCAGATCTTCGTCATCGTCATCTTGGTCATCATCATAGTCCTCGTTGAGAGGGTTGAGAGCGCCTCGGAAGCCGTATTTGAAATTCCTGCGGTGTTTGCCTTCTTCTTCTTGGCGGTGGACGGCGTAGCCAACATCGAAGACTTCGCGCAGGTTGATGGCTCCTGGGGATCGGAAGTCCATTTTGCGATCCAGCGCGATGGGGGGGGTTTCCATGAAGTGGGCGTGGAGGGCTGCTGGGGTGGCGAGAGGAGGGGCATCGGCGGCGGCATGGGTTTCTTCGTTCGTTTGTTTGATCCAGGGATGTTCCAGGAATTCCTTGATGGTGAAGCGCTTGTCTGGGTCGACAGTGAGGAGGTGGGAGACGAGGTCTTGGACGGATTTAGAGATGTCGTCCCACCACGGGGAGAGGAAAGTGTATTGGCCACGCGCGACCTTTTCGGTCAGCACTTGGATGCTCTCGTCGTAGAAAGGGGGGAAGCCGCATAGTAGGGTATATAGGACACAGCCTAGAGCCCACATATCGACGCTCTTGGAGTATCGTTCGTCCTTGACGATTTCAGGGGCCGTGTAACCGACCGTCCCACATGGTGTCATGGTTTCACTGTCCCATATCACCTTGGACAGACCGAAGTCGGCTACTTTGATCTGACCAATACCGCCACCTCCAACGCCAGGGGTAAACTCGCCTTCGTCAGCTTTTCCTTCATCACCAGGGCCAGAGGGTTTAGGGTTTTTAGAGGGGATGAATGGAGCGGGGTAGAAGAGGAGATTTTCAGGTTTGATGTCACTAAGTTAAAAATGTGATGTCAGTGGGAGACGCTCCATCAATGCCAAGATATAATGACGCCATGTGGTCTGGATCTTAATGCATACCGGTGTACAACGCCGGAATGTTCGTGTAAATATTCTATCGCCTTTGCGACTTGTACTATAACATGGCGACTGAGGTCCTCGCTGAAGTATGTCAATCGAACGATTTGGTGAAACAATTCACCTCCGGGACAAAGTTCAAGGACGATATAGTAAAATTGATTCGACTCTGAGAATTCGATCAGCTTAACTATATTGGGGTGGTCGAGTTGGCGCATTATTTGGACTTCTTTGAGGATATTTGAGCGCTAAAAGGAAGAAAAGACGGCATTAAACCAAAAGTTAGTGACATAATACTCAAGATATGGTTGGTGTGTTTTAACAGGCATTATCTGATGAAGATTTGATGCTGAAAACTTCAAAATCTGAATCTGAATCACCAAGTCGTGAAAACATATAAGTCAAGTAAACGCTCACCTCCACGACCTGCTTTTGCTTCTTCTTAAGGTCCGGATGAAGGTGATCCTCGCCCTAGAATTTGGCTCCCCGATGTTGGCCAATGCAAAGAAAGAAGAAAGAAGGATAATAAAATATTTGAAAAAAAAAAAAAAAAAAAAAAAAAAAACAGCCTCCAGGTATGCAGACATAATGTAAAATAGAAGAGAAGAAAAAAATAGTGGTTAATATTCTTTTCTTTCTTTTCTAAGAAATAATGGAAAAGAATAGAATAGAATAAAACGGAAGGAAAAAGGGTAAAAAAAAATTAAGATTAAAAAAATTATTTTGTTTATATCAGTGACAGGTCTCATACCTGTTTAGAGTTCATCTCGAATTTCCGCACGACTTTAATAGCAACCTCTCCGAATTTGCCAGTGGTATCTCTGGCACGATAGACGTTGCTGAAGGCACCGTCGCCCATTTTCTCCAGCAGTTCCCACCTCTCTAAACCCGGATATTTTGGCATCTGTGACCTACTTCGCCTCTCCTCTGCGATAATCTGTTCGATTTCCGACTCGTGTCCCCTTGCAGCTTTTATGGGCACGGTCGCTGACTTTTTGGTTTGAGTTGTCGCATGAGCAAACTTTGGGGGTAACCTGCTATCCAGGGCATCTAGGCCGTGAGCAGCGGCTGAGAATTGGCTGAGTGGCTGTTTCTGATGCTCTACGTGGATGGTGGAGACGTTTGTGGTGGGTTCTGCATGGGGAGTGGCTATGCGGGCCTGCTTGCCATGTCGTATGAAATTCTTCAGGTTCTGAATGGTACTCATCATGGATATGCAAGGGAGCCCGAAACTGCTGATTGTGAGACGAGTGAAAAATGCAAATGTGAATGGAAAATGAGAAAGCAAAACAAAGACATTAAAAGATGATTGTCACAAGGAGCGGTTGGAGGCAGGCTACATCTATTATATAAATGCGGGGGTTGCCTCAGGTACTCGATATAGAGTGGACGGCGAGTCACGATGGTTCCTGGTGGGGATAGATGTAGCAGTTGGACTCTTAAGAGAAGTTGCCAATGACAAACAGGACTGAGATTAGACGAGGTAAATGAAGGATACCAAGTCGGAATGAACTGTGTTGGACAGGTTAAAGACGCTGAGAAGTATTCAAATACAGTCGAAGCAATGAGCCACCTGGGCAGAAGTAGGGAGCTGTAGGCAGATGTGCTAGAAAGGGGGAACAAGCTATGAGGGAGAGGTGAGGTTACAAAAAAAAAGAATGAAATAAAAGGAGAGATTGTGAATGTGGTGGATGTTCCGGTGACAGCGTGATAGTAGTGGTGATGGTGCTCCCAGATGGTTGTTTAGTCGCTAAAAAAATCTTGATTCCGCCAAAAACCGCAGCGATGAATCATGAGTTCCAAGGTTGGGCCTAGCGTCAGCCGCAGTCAGGTGAGGGCCGTCCACGGATGGCGGAAGACGGGACAGGCAGACGTCATATTGTTGATACTCCTTTAATATGTTGAAAACATAATGTTGAATATTGTTGTCTTTTCCCTCTGCTCTAAGGGAAATAGGATTTATGCAACTCTTATTTCATATTTACAGTCTACCTGCACTCACCGCTGCTTAAAAGTCGAATGTTTGGCAAATGCCATCATTGCCCTTCAACACCCCCCCCCCCTAACTCTCGCTTTGCTGATCTGTGTACTTCGGTGGGGACTTGGGCTGATCCGCCCTCAGCAACAACTGACGCTCATGTCATTGGGGTTTTTGCCTGATACCAATTTCCCCGCTCGCTCCCGCCCCTCGCACCTCTGCTGTTTGATATTTTGTTCGGCTTGATGGGATCCTTAGTCCTAGGTCCTCTGATTATCATTCTGTACAGACGATAAGCTGAATTATCCGCTGCAACGGCGAAAATGATAATACCTCGAAGCACCAAGGTCAGGCCCTGGGATGCGATCCTGCTTGGACACCGGTAACCACTCTCTACACATGGATGATGTGCATTATGATGTTATGACATTACATATCCCTTTGTTTCTTCCCGCCTCTTAACCATGGCAAGGAACCACATCCATCCTTTGCTAGAACATGAGAGCAGGGAATAGCCATTTATTAATTTCTTTTGTGAGAATAGAATGAAATTAACTTCTTCCCCATCTTCCCTCAGAAAGAAGTTGAAAATGAGATTGTGGCTCAGTCATGGGGCTGAGAGTTCCACCACACAGATAATCTAAACCCTTCACTGCTCTTTGACTACAACTATTAGTTAGTTAACGTATCGCACTTTTAGTTACTAAATTCAAAACGCGAATTCGTCCACTACAACTGAAAGCGGGTTGAGAGGGCGTTGAGTCTGTACCTGAATCAAAATCCCCAGCCCAGCCGTACTAAATCTCCCGAGTCACGTGGTCACTGAATTTTAAACCTCTCTTAGGTACCTCTTTTGAATTAACTTACTCGAATAGACTCGGATCCATCACAAAATCTGGTAACTCTGTAAACTTTCGGAATGATTTATGTTCATGAAGTTAATATGGACTGATATCTTGGTTAACTCGGTCCTTTACCCAAGGAAACTTCCTCTCGGCATCACAAACTCTTTATGTATTATTTATTTACTGCAATGTAATTCTTCCAAACCAGTTCTTACATGACTAATCTTCTGGAGATTTTCTGCCACTTGATAAACCAGATACCTATTAGCTATAACGTAGTCCACCACCTTCTTGACCAAATCATTCAATTGAACATTTTATCTCAACAAATAATTCAAAATGTCAGCTACTTTTAATAAAAAACTTCTAAAACTTTTAGTTAGAATAATTTATTTATTGTTATATTATTTAATTAATTATATACGTATATAGTATGATTAGATGCTCAACTTAATAATTAAAAAATAATCTTTATAGAAAAGAAATCTTTAATTCAATAAATAGTTTTCATATATAAGAGAAAAGAAATCTTTTAAATTGTCATTATATAAGAGATGATTAATTTATATAAAATAATATTCAATACTTCTAGTATTGCAAAAGTTTAATTAAATCAATAAATTTATTATAGTATTTGAATTAAAGATAAAATTTTTATGTAATAAAATTATGCTAAAAGAATATATACAGCTTAAATGAATAAATTAAAAAATGAATAAACTGTAATGAAAATAATTAATATTATAAACTAAGTATTATTTTTTATAATTATATTAAAAAGTAAACTGTATTGAAGTTTAAAATATAAGTAGCAGTTGTTAAAAAACTAAATATTTACTATTACAAATAAAAATTAAATTACAATAAATTTAACTTACAACTATAAAAATATATAATAAATATAATATAATTTATATAACTAGTTGATAAAATTATGCTGTTGTTGAATTTAATAAATTTTACTTAAATTACAAAATTATAACATTATATATAATTTTTTACTTCTTTTATTTATTGTAGTTATTACATGTGAGTTATTTTTTTCTTCATTCAAAAAAGTATATAATAAATAAAATATAAAATAAAAGATTAAAAAATTATATTAATAAGATTTTTTTTATTAACTATAAAAATATTATTATAAAAAATAATTCTAAATTATAAATTTATATAATTTGACTAAGATTCTATCTAACTAGTATATATTTAAATCTTACTTCTTTCTTTATCAGAGTTAATTTATGAATTTCATAAATTTCTGTTTTTTTAAACTTTTAAAACTACTTATAATATGACTCATTGAAATAGCAAAGCAGCAAGATTAAATATGACATAAATTTTCTTTCTGGTTTCATGAAACAAGTTTTTGATCAGTTGATAAAGAAATGTCAGATGATCATGCACAGCATCTCTTTACTAACAAAAGAACATATGAAGTTATAGCTGACATTGCCAAGGTAGAAGTGATTGAGAAAAAAAACTGTTTACATATAGCTGCAGAAGGGATTCTAACTGCCTAAGAAGAATTAGTTAAGGCTGCTAGAGCCCAGAAGCTCAATGAGCTCATTGAGTAGGCGATTGAGGATGCAAATAATTATCATATATATTTCCTAACTATTGTAGTGGTTGTTGCTTAATTTGAAAATTTGTCGAATTTGAGTTTGAGGTTGTTTGGTTTGGTGGTTTGTTGCGGGAAGATTACGTTGCAGTATTCGTATTCGCTGACGTCAACCGATGGAGGACTAGTTAGCTAACTAATAGTTAACTAGTTAACGTGGTTAAGAAGTTACGTGAACGGAAATCAAGATGACTCCGAGTCATAAAGTAATAAAAAGGAAACTTTGCTGAGGCTCCTGTCGACGGCGATGGACCCTCCTTAATTTCCCAACCTCCCCTTCTACCTTCTCGTCAGCACCACTTCCATGGGCCCCGGTTGCGGCAGAGGATCTGAACTGCGCAACTAAATATAGCAACAGCCACGAGATTTATCTTCAGATGGAATGAACACACTCCTGAAACATTTAAGATGATAGTATGCACTGCACTATCTAGAAAATCGGTTTTCAGATTTAAAAGTAACTGGGAACCACCGGGGACTGCTCATGAATGTGATCGGATATTGAATGTCGGGCCTGAGATGAGTCAAGGGTACGGACCAGTGGTTTCCCTGTGCTCCTACAGGAGATAGAAGTAGATCCCATCCATGGATTATTATGGAGAGATCGTAATCATCTGGGCAGCGGCGATTTGTTGGTGATGTATCTTCTGTACTGAGTTATCCACTCAAACTATCCGCCTGCCAGTAAAATGGAGTAGACAACGGACGCTCCATGGCTTCTGCTCAGGAAATGAAGGAGTTTGATCGGGGAAAGGGCTGGAGGGCCATTTGGCTTCGCAGATATATATGGATGTGCTTGTAGAAGACTGAAGTAGGGAATGGCGTTTTAGATTTTGTCGCACCATTTTGAGAGACTGCTCTTGATGGATGGTATTCAAAGAAGTATCCGTGCATAGATAGGGGTTTCAAACAGGTATGCATATATGTGCATACTTCAAAAGCATGTGCATACTTCAAAGGCTATGGCCAAGTTTCCTAGAAGTGGGAGAAATGATTTTATTTGAACATTCTCCTGTCAAACAGCTTGACGGATGATGCAGGTTTGCCTTTTTGTTTATTTTCATTGTTAAATATTAACGCAGTGTCGAAAGCGGGTCTTGGCTTGCATAGCAGGGTAACCAGGGGATATGAGGAATTCGGGAGAGGAGCGGACATACATACAAACGGTAATTATGATTATTGTAATGTATGATGTATGCATGTACGAGTCTTCGTTGTGCGGAATGACCGTGGTTATTTGCGAATGTTAATTGCATCTGAGCCCATCAAACAAACACTCTTTGTACGGAACTTGGTCCTTTCTCCGTGATCTGTTTGAAGGACAAGCCATGATTTGTTGATAGTTAGTTAGAGGAGGAGGAGGAAGAGGAAGAAGAAGAAGAAGAAGAAGAAGAAGAAGAAGAAGAAGAAGAAGAAGAAGAACTGAGTGGTCTCCTTTTGCTTTCTGTTTCTTCTTCTGATGGGGATCGCCCTTTGCCGTTGGTGTGTCTTGTGTCTGCGGTCTGGGTCAGGCCGCCTCATCTTCAATCTTCCCTTCTGCATCCTCCTATTTGTCCTTGCGACCAACCATCTCCACACACCCAGATCCCTTCAACCGCTCTGGCTTGGTGGTTGCTCTATCACCTGTGATTTACCATCACCGTGCTTAGCGCCTACCCCAGGCCTTTTTAATCTCAACTTGTCCGAATTGTCACCAGGTTATTGGTCTTGCTGGGCTTGACTTTTACATTTTCGTGCCGTCGCATCAATCCCATCTCAACCATCCAGAATTCCACAACCATATTTGCTGCTAGGGTCTGCTTGTCTGTGACAATCTTTGCTGAAGGCTTAAACTTCTGCTCAACCGACCAAGGCAAAACGGCGGTTGTCTTCATTCCATCATCAACTGTTTCTAATTCTAGTGCGTCGCCAACCATCACATCTTCCCGCGCTTCGTACACACTTTCCATCTCTCCAGTTCCAATATCCAGACAACCCAGGCTATTGCAATACAAGCGGACTTTACCCCGCGAGTTGCCGAGATTATATATCGCAAGTTGCCACAGGTGAAAGTACATACATAGGGAGAAAACCCTCTCTTTGCCTTGGCAAGGTCATCTGTTCTATATGGGCCAGCCCACCATTCATCTCGATCTCACTTTTAACAATCGAGCTTTGCGGGGAAATAGTCAAGCTCAGATTCTTACAGAACTGGAAATATTTAAAGAGCTTATTCATCCGTTATGAGACCACTACCAGTGACTGAATGAAATATTTGAACATCGAGTTACATGTTATTTTGAGGGAATTAAAGGGTCTTAAGGTGTGCGGCCCAACTTTTATATTTAGCTGAGCATCTTCGTCCTGAGAAGACACTCCATCATCATCAACACCACGTTAATCCCGTCTTCGTTTCCTATCACTATGCTGGCTGTGAATGTTTTGGGGCCCAGCCCCTTGACCTTTCACGCAGATCCTCCATGTTTGAAAGCCCATAAAGCCCTACCTCGAAAGCGCGATTTTCCTAGTCATGGTTTAATATCGATACCGCCGTCATCCAGTCTAAGACAAGATGCCACGCCTTCTTCGAATGGATTCGCCTATTCCCCTGCGCCAACGCTTCCGTTGACACCGCCCGGCCTCCCGTTATTGCCCCACAAGAGAGTTAACAATGTTATTTCGCGGGAGGGATCCAATGAGCTTATTCCAGGCACCACAGGAACTGCTACGCCAACGCACCAGTTTAGCCCCCCGACGCCCGATATTACACCTCCACGAGCACTTTCGTGCTTTAAGAAAAGAGAAGGGCTTACACCAATACAGCCATCAATGGCCTCAAGGGCTGAGTCATTTACAACTGCTCGAGAAGCTTTGTCATCGGACGAAGATGTGGCGGAAAGAAGAAATGCAGCAGTGCCACTGTTATTGCGCCCAACAATACCCAAGCTGCCTCATCCTTTGCGAACGAATACGTCATTTTGGGAGCCAGACCTCCAGAGAAATGTTGGACCAACAAGGGATGGCCATGAGCGTGTTGACCAGACAGAGGCAACCATGTTCGATTCCTTTGAAGGAGAGTGGGTTAAGCCACATGAAAACAATATGATCAGATCCCATGAAAACAAACACAAGCGCCCTCCAATTCTTGCAGATCATGATCCGTTCTCACAGAACAGCAACAACCCTTGCGATTTGCACGCGACAAATAAATCTTCGTGGAATAGGGAAAGGAGCTTGAAGGAAAGGCTTCAAAATTCCCGCAGAACACCTATTACATCCGTTGAAAAGGTCGCAGAAGATTTAGAATGGGTTTCAGGAGACGACCACCTCGAGATGACCGATCGCGTCCGTACTTGGCGACTTTCTGGGATATCGACTTCCTCGACTGTGGAAGCGATGGTGATCGACTCTCCACCACGAAAACATCCGACACTAAGGCATTCGGAGAAGCATTCCTCCCTTCGATCTGCCAGATCTGCGAGTTCGCCAATTCCAAAGTCAAACTTCGACGACTCGGCATCGTCTTTGGCGGACCACCGCCATCGTCTGAACCGAAAGTCTGCCCGGATTACCAATGAAAATCGATGGAGTGTGTCATCGGATATGTCCTTTGCTGCGAGTGTAGTCTCTGTGCGACCAAAATTGAAGCAGGATGTCGTACCAGTTGTCGTCATTCCCCAACGACGATCCTCATTGAAATCTACAAATTCGGCCAGCAGAAGCGATTCAAAAACACGTTCCCTCGGGTTTACTCTTCGCCCTACCACTGCGCCAGACAGCGGAATTAGGTCGTTTGATATATCCCAACGACAAAGGCGTACCTTGTCCGCATCTTTACCTTCAACGAGCTATACATCCGGGCCTAACATTCCTCAAAGAAAGTCTTCATTATCCGCACCTACCAGCAGGAGTAACTCTAGAGCACCTTCACTTACTTTGGAGAGTTCACGCCGTCATGCTGCCGTGCCCGTCCAACCCCCTGCTCCCGAAACCCCCACCAAAAGACCTAACAAACCGACAACTCCAAAAACCACCATTCCTGAACCTGAGATCACAAGTCTAAGTCCACATGTATTCGAGCAGCCTGGCTATGAACATGGCCTAATAGCCTCTCCATCTCTATATCTTACTCCATTTCAGCCATCGATTCAATCTCTATCTCCAGGTCCAGTGGAGATTCACGAGGCTAGAGCCGTCCCATTTTTCTTTCACAACAACAAATCCCTTTTACTTATAGACCAACAGCCGGCGGTTGCTGAATCTCGAGCTGTCCAATACCTTCGCACTGGGCCAGGTCGCTTGGAAATGAAAGTTACTCGACCACAAACTCCCGAAATGCCCTCCCAAGCAACGACAAGTGATTTTTATTCTCCCCTCCACAATCCTCGCGCCCCTCCTAGACCCCCAGCTGTCAAATTCATCCCACCAACTCCTATTGGTGATATTGGTCTAACACTGGTTACGGAGAGAACCAATTCGGATAGTAACAATGGTCGAGTTCGCCGCGTCAACTCCGTTCGCCGCGCCTTTGGCTCATGGAGGCGTACGGAAGCATATCCCGTCACTTTCCCGTCACAACACGTTCGAAACACGAAAGCTGGCACTAACATAGACAGCAAGTTACACCCCTTCTGGCTCCCACAACCATTCTGGGAAGGATTCGCAGACTCCGATTGTGAAGTGGAGGGTGGTGTCACGTCCAGTTCTCCCCTGGCTAGAGGCAACGATGATCTAATCGTCAGCAACTCCCTAGGCATACCGCAAAAGCGTGTCACTCTCGCCGGCCCGCTGACTATAATTCGACGGATCTCTAACAGAACTCGATCTCGTCGGGCTGCACGTCGCATGAACAACAGAAACCAGGAGCTTGCATCGCACTTTAAATCGACCTTCCCGGCGCATCAAGTTCACTCTTCTACCCGTCACAATCGCCATTACACGATGTCTAGAGCTGGCCTTTTGCACATACCTGTCAGCTCCGTGCGCGGGTTACAAGAGTGGATTGCGCGGGCTAGGCGTCAGAGGACGCAGGATAAACTTGAAGAGCGAAGGGAGAAGCTGAGACAAAAGATTGGGGGACGCGTTTTGCCAGCTAATGCGGCTCTCATCGTTCCGGATGGCCGTTGAATTCCTGCGATGGAGGCCATATATTGAAATGGCTGAGGCCACTCTTTTGCCCAGGGTACCGAACTCGTGTGTATTAAAACAGGGAATTTTCGTTTTCGGTTTGATATCGACAATTTTTCTTCCCATATATCTTCTATATTATTTGCTCTTTTTCTTCATCTGTTTGTTATGTTCGTTTACGTTTTGCTCTTTTGCTTTTTAGCGATCTACGTTGACATGAAATGGTACATAAGCAAAACGTATCATCACGCAATTCGATGAGATAATGATTTATGAAACCCTCTCATATTAGATCGAAATCTGTTAACACTCACCCCTAATTTATTAAGTGTGCGATATTTTCTAGCTCAGCTGTCTTTCCATATATTGTCCATCTCTTACATCAGACGGTTTACTTGGTCTTCGGTTCCCTGACTATTTGGCTTCGTTTGGGCCCGGTGGCCTGCGCTTCAAGCGTTGCCTTTATCACTTTGCGATTTGACGACATTTAACCTGCAGCAGAGCATAGAGCATTCACGAACTTATGCCGATATGAGTTGAGACATCTCGGAGCACAACCAAAGACATGAAAAGGCGGGGCAGGGGAAATGAAATCGTTATTCACCTCACGCAAAAAAAAATATCATCCAGAATAACCCTAGAAATATATCCATTGCCTCAAACTGAGTTAAATAGGTTTTTTTCACCGTTTCCACCATGCCTCTTTTTCTTCCAGTTATTTTTTATGCCCTGCATTGCCCTTTCTCGGTACCATGTTGTTTTGCTCGATTGCTTCTTTTCTTCCGCTTGACGCACCGTCTTTCCGCCATGACAACTTATATGTAACTCTGTTTCGCGGATTTGATCCTGATACTTCCAGTTTCTCCACATTTTCTCCCCAGACTCCCTTTCGCAGATGTATATTATTTGTTTTCCATTGACAATTGTAGCTTCTTAAATGCCACTACTATTTCTTGACTTTCTAATGGATCACAAGGATCAACGGATGGCTCCGTTGTTCTCCCAAGACCCTGAACGTCCGAGCAAACAGCTCCTCTGAAATTGTGAACCCCATTGAAAGCCCTTCACTTTCAATCTTCATCATGTCCCTAACCCGCCCTTTCCAATGCGTCCTCCCCTTCCAAAAACGGTTGTGGGGCCTTAGAAGAATCAAATTCGATGACTGGTAGTTCCTTTTCCTCCTCTGCAATTCCACCTTCGGAGCCCTGAGCAGCTAACTTGGCGGATTTCAGCTGGAGATCTGCCACATGGGCAGAGGGGTTTAAAGGCCGAGAATGCAATTTCGGTTTCGACAGTGGTTGCTTCGGGAGGGGTTGGCGTTTTTGGGGGGAACTTGTCATTTTTGTTTAAATTTTGTTTTGGCACTGGGTGTATTAGGTTTCTGTTCTCTTGCTTTGCTTCATTTAACTCGAACCGGCTATCCTGTATGGATGTTGGATAATTAGGGTCGGGTTTGATAATAAGAGCTTCCTGCAAGAGGTAGCCGACCAACCCCGCATATCACGTGACTAATTTTGTACCTTAAGCTAATGTCAGAGTTGCTCTGTCTGGCTTATCTGCGAAACCTTACCGACATCGGACAGAATCATTTTCATGTCAAACGAACCCCGCCAACCGGCAACTGGAGCATTGAGTCACTAAGATCTCACTATCAGAATCCTACTTGCGTCCATTCGAGTGCGTCAACGCGCGACGTGACTTAGGACGAGGTAAGGGATTCTTCCCTCCCGCCGCTTCCCCAGCGACTGTGAGGGCCTGGGTTTGCCGACAGCCATCGTACCTTTTCCCGGCAATTTCTCTGATAGCTGGGTGCGCTCTTAAAACTGCCGCGGCCCCTCCGGTTTTCAACGCTGGTTGCCTCCTGTCATACCGGTTCCCAGTGTGGCTGCCCTGGCATTCAGTGACGGCCATAGACGCAGTGCCAGTGGCAATGGGAATGTCGCTGGCGTTGGCGTCGGGAATGGTAGCAGTGTCGGAGGGAATATTGGCCCAGGAGGAATAGCTACCCCGATCGGGTCAGCGGGAGGAGGCGTGGAAGGAGGTGTGACATCCACCGCAGGAGCTGGACCAGCCGAACAGCAGCACAGTCACAGCCCGCACACGAGTCCCACACGGAATACTGCTAGTTCATGTACGGCTGGTCCTTCTCCTGCTTCGGCATCTGCATTCGGAAGTGGAGCCAAGAGACGAAATGTGTCTATCTCAGGGCTGGATAGCTCACCCGGAAGCACATATGACATCGAAGAGTCGGAGAATAATGCCCATAGTACCCAGGATGGGAGAAGGAAACAGCCCGTGAAGCGGGCATGTAATGAATGTCGCCAACAAAAGGTTCGTCGTATTCTAAATGTTGTCACAAATAGATATATGTAGTTGTCGGTTCTTGTTTCATGTCCAAAATTATTGTTGCTGCCAATTTTCTTGACCATATACTAACATTTTTCACATTACAGCTCCGATGCGATGTCATTCAGGAACCTTTTACCACATGCTCGCGTTGTCGTCGTCTCAAGCTGGAATGCAAAATCGAAACAAATTTTAAACGCATTGGCAAGCGCAGTCGGAATGCTGAAATGGAGCGTGAAATAATCGAACTGAGAAGACAGATTGCGAATGCAAATGCTGCAGCCAGCGCGGCGCAACAGCATCAGCATCAGCATCAACAGCCACTTCCACCCATTAAGCAAGAGTTGCACTCCCTTTCTTCGCAGTATACTTCATCTCAGCGTAACATGTATCAACCGTCAGCTGGTGATGCAGGGGACCAATATATCGGATCGCACGAAGCTGTTGCATCGCTGCTTGATCTACGATCCGGACTAGATTCTTCCAGTTTCTTGAGGAGCCCTAGCGGCCAGCTAATTATGATGAAACGCATTGAAGATGTATCAATAAGCCCGGAGCGTGTTACGGAGCTCTTTAGCCTGTTAGTATCCCCCTTTTATTTTATTTTTTTCTTTTTCCATTCCAAATAAAGTCACAGCTATGCTTACTTGGACCAGTTTTTTCACGTTCTATCATCCATATCTCCCCTTTCTGGATAGAGAGAAGCCTCCTGAAGATTTATTTTCTACTTCACCTCTCCTATTCTGGACTATAATCAGTGTAGGGTCTCGTCGATACGAGACTGACCCTTCGCTCGTCAATACCCTGTCTGGACCAGTTTCGAGATTGGTATGGAGTACATTGGCAGATGTTCCCCAGAGCTATCATGTCGTGAAAGCACTTGCGCTGTTATGCACATGGCCGTTCCCAACCAGTAGCACATCGACAGATCCGACTTTCATGCTTTGTGGCATGATGATGCAGATAGCAATGCAAATTGGCCTTCATAGACCATCACATGCTCAAGATTTCTCTAAGTTTAGGGTCGAGTTTAGAGAAGGAGAATTGAAAGACAGGGTTAAAACTTGGGCTGTTTGCAACATAGTTGCTCAGAGGTATTGTTACTTCCTGCTTCCGTCAAGCTTTCTTTCCACGTCCCATGCGAACTGAGGTCGTTCAGATAGTTAACTCTCCTATTAGGGTAGCGACCGGTTATGGCCAACCATCGCAGACACTGATTGACTGGACACTGTCATCTCCCGAATCAGTTGACCAAAATTTCAAGCTTCCAGCCGAAATAAAAGTTCGATTGGATATCGAGAAATTCTGCGATAAAGTAACAAGGGGCCTCTACAACAATCCTCGAGATCCTGTGGGCCTCTCCAGCGATGATGAAAGATTTATTGTAACCACCATTCTCGCGAAAGATTTCGAGGAACTGGAAAGTCAACTAAGACAGGAACACAATTGTATGTGATTTTCTGTTGATTCTGAATATTCATATTTTAATACTCACATTTATTAGCCATAACAAGCCTCTATCTTCGGGCAGCTGCTCTTCACCTACGTCTTTCGGCCTTTTTTGATAACCCAACGGCCAAAGATTACCGCCAAGGCCTTTCAGCGTTGTATCTCGCCACTACCCTCTTTCTTGACGAGGCTCTAAATATCGAAACTACCGTGGGACCTGTACTTGCATATAGCCCAAATTACATATATCAGATGACCCTAGCTGCCGGATTCATCTTGCTTAAACTGTGCAAAAGCTTCTTTGCTGTTCACATCGATATGGATTATACAAAAAACCTTTTCAACAGAACTATTTGGACCCTACGAAGTATGTCAGTTACGAATAACGATCTTCCACAGCGATTGGCGGAAGTTTTGGCCCAAATGTGGCGGATGGGTAGTGCGCCAGTCTCCCCAGACGTTGCCAGATCTTCATCTAGCCAGCCGGAAATGGACGACTCCTTGCAACTTAAGGTCAGATGCCGCATGAGCATGTCTCTTGTCTACGACTCAGTTTGGCGGTGGAGAGAAGATTTCCAGGCTAAGGGAAGGAACCTAGAATGTATGTTCCCTCCGTTTATCCATATCCATCTGGTCCTTTTCCATATTCATAATTCTGTAGTGATTCTAATAACAATACTCCAGCGTTCCTCAAAAATCCTACGAATCCAGACTCCAACGCGTCATCCTCATCCTCATCCGTAGCCCCGTTACGGGCCTCAAGCTCAACCCCCGGGGTCGGGGGTGCAGATCCCAGCCTTACACCTGCACCACCTTCTCACTCGATCAACATCGGCGGTGCAGGAGGTGGAGGGACACTCAGTACATCCTGCCCCGGAAATGGACTAGGTCTCTTGGGTGGCTTTGTGGAACCGAATTACGAAGTGTTCGATCCACTAAATTGGATGCTGGATGGACTGGTAGATTTCCCCTATTCCTATAATGCCGTTCAGGGGTTGGAGACGTAAGCCATCACCTAGCGTGGCCCGTTTCCTTGACTTTACCAATTTCTGTTAAATAATTTCTTTGGCTTCTTGCAGTTAAAATGTCTATATATACTACAGCACACATCTAGAATAGATTGCTTCTCTTTATATTCTTATGATTTACTTACCTTTTCTTTGCATATTATATCCACTGGATTGCACGATCATGTAAAGAATTTTTATGCTAACTCTTTTTTTTTTTTTCTTCTTCACCACCAATTTACTTAATGAAAGAACATTTGGGTTGGTTAGCATTTTACTCTTTAATTTCCACGCCCAGTTTGTTTACAATCTGTTTACCTCCAACCCTGCAATCACGGGGATAACTGAAAACCTGAATCAGTTTACCCTATCTAATCACTTTATCAATGGGTATTGTTAACTTCAGTGGCTCTAATCAAGGGATAAATGTACAATTGAGTTAATGAAAATTTGCCTGAGCAATAGGACACGAAAACAAATAATCTGATTGCTGCGTTGTGTTTTCTATCAGAGAGTGTATCATGATGAAAAGGAGGAAGACGACGATGCAAATCAGAAAGATGAGCTATCAGCAGCAAAAAGTTCGACAATAACGAATCTCACCGGTTTTATGCTTCATAGGTAGCATTATCACACTTCATGGCCAATAAACCAATTGGTAAAGAGCCAAGAACATAATTCAACAACTTCCCCCTCCCCCTCCACCGCCTCCGCCAGTGCACCCTCCACCGCTGCACCCTCCAATACCGCCACCGGCCCCACTATCAACCAACCACCCGCATCCTCCCACAGAAACCCTAGCACTACATGCGGTCGTGACTCAATTACCCACAGCTCCAAACCCCATACTCACACACGACGGGTTGCATGGATATAGTCTCATTGATACTTGGATCAACGGCGAAGGGGATGTAAAAAGACATTGCTACCGGTAGACCCCAAACAAGAGTGTTCGCACCATATGGATTTTGTCCGTCATTATTTGTAGTCGATGAACTTGAGCGGTGCTTTGAAGGAGAGCCGCTGCTCACTATCTCCACCAAGGAAAGGTAAGCCACGCTTCTGCTTTCGTTTGATGGCTTTTTCGTACTGCGATTTAAGCCTCCAGACTACCAGCTGCTTTGGCGCGGATTTAAGGTGTCGGGAGGGTTAACTGCGCTGTGAGCGGATATATGTGGGCCTTTAACCGGATCAGAGTCGATATCTGCGCGGTCGTGGAGTTGGCCCGCAGCCTTTTGGGTTGGAATGTCGCGAGGGATTTGAAAAGGCCGTTGTTATTATATGATTCCCGGATAGCTTCACAGTGCCAACATGTGCATTCGCTATATACCTGGCCTCCTGTTATTCCCTGGTATTGCTTTGATGTCCATTGGAAGGAGATGTTGAGTTTATTCTCGATCACTTTGTCGTCGTGGTCGATGTACCTGCCCTGTGCATGGTGGGGGGAATATGTGAAATACTGGAATGGCGAAAGCTGGTGGGTGTGCCAGGCAAGATCGACATTGAAAGTAGGAACGGCCATGTCATTTGGATTCTCACATATAATCTGGCAAAAAGTTTTATATTTCGTGATGAGACGTGTCATAGTTGATTCGAGTGCTGGGGAATGAATCCAATCGATTTTACTATATTTTCTATGAATGACCCTTGACGGATAACTGCTCCTACTAAGTCAAGAGCGAAGGGTGACGAATTTCCCAAATAACGAGACATCATTTTGAACGGGGAAACGTTCTTCTTGGTTACCAGCCCGGCACTTTGAGTGCCATGTGGACATGTGCTCTGTTCCTTAAATTCTCTGAAAAAAATCTCGCACCATAGACATTGATGCAAGGGCATTTTGGGAGAGGTCCACCAGACCAAGTAGTGGAATGCTAATTGCTTGCTGGATGAGATTGCTGGGAAAAGAAGGGCTGTGACGTTCACCTCTTGGATTTTCAGGCATCCCATTCCGGCTCAGAATAGTGCCTGGCATGAGAAGTACATCGTGGCGGAACTTTGCAATTCGAAATTTCTCATGCGTGATAGTGACCCTACAATGAATGCACATAGTTCTGAGAGTTTTATCAGTAAAGCCACTACCATGTTCAAAGGGCCGTGCCAATGATCCGATCTGCGGGTGTTGTTCCTGCCATGGAATCATCACCTGGCCCTGGCATTGGGGGCAAGTAAAAACCTTAGACGGGCTGTCATTGGTATCATCCCATTGAAGGTCCATTTGTGTGCGGAAATTTGTCACCGCCTCGTCTGTAGGAAAGTAGTCAAACGTCCTGTCATTGATGCAAAAGTCCACAGCTTGCCATGGTAAACCTGTTGACCAAAAACTCATTTTTTCCATGCGAATGCAGTCTTCTAGAAAAACTCGGGGACTCAGCAAATAGGCATGCCACACCATCAGCACATCTGGGAATAAATAATTAGCTTCCAATAAATCGACAAAGGGATTGAGCATCTACCTAACGGAGGCATTATATCAAACGTCCAAAATATTGTTTCTTTCCAACCTCGTGAGGTCTCCAGGACACCTGAAGGCTCTATATCATAGATAGTGACGGTGACCCTACGGGAGCCAAAGCCATCTCTTCCGATACACTTTTCGTGCCAGTTAGAGAACCTATGAACCACCCTGCCAACATAAACTGCCCATCGCTTCTCCCTGATCAACTGGGCGGCTTTAAGCCTGTCCTCCTCAGTCTGAAAGCTTCCATAATCCTTGTCATGAAGATTAAAAAAGGCCCATCAGTGGCAGAAATCATTTCCGGAGATGGGTTAGAGCGGCCAAAAACTTTAGATGTGCAATACATTCGTCTGTTGAAACAGGAAAGGGCTTCAAAGGATTTGCAGATATTTGTGGGCCTGCAGGCGCTTAATGAAGCTCTCGAAATGGCGGTAACGTGGTTCCAGCGCCCGAATTGGGGTTGTCTCGCATATAAAGTGGTGGAGGGTCATTCAATGGAGCAGGCCTGAAAGTCGATGATGGTCCACCGGCCTCTGGTTGAGGAATCCTCATAGTTTTGGAAGGGGTGGAACCCACGAACGAACAACGTTTTGGGTTTATTGCGGGTCGATAATTCTGAGTATGGCACGACTTAAAAGTCCACTGTAAAGTGAGTGCTCATCAACAACAAATATCAATGATCCAAGATCAGAGCGCTTCCGATTGTATATTCAAAGGGTATAGACCATATTAAAAGGAACCAGCTCTAACTCGCACCCAGCACTAAATGACCTTGCGCTCCCAGGAATATTCAATTTTAATAATGGAGTCCGGCTGCCACAAACTTTATCGTAAAGCATCTACACGGGAGTAGAATGGCGAAGCTAACTACTCCACCATGCTGTCGACAGTGCACAATCGAAGAATCAACCTTGGAAGTCGAAAAATGACATCTAGTCAAGGCACTAGATATGTTACTAAACCTTTAGTAAACGGTTGATTCTTTGCACAGACGAACCGGGTTAAGCAGAGTTAATTATAATTAGGGAGGTATTCCAAGCCAAGCCACCCCTGAAGCTTACATCAAGGTTGAAGAGTACATCGCATTCGACTCCTATTCATTAATGACACAAGTTAGATGTTTGAGAGGTAGATGTAGAGAGACAGACAGGTTTTGCACGCTGAGCCTCGTGTCATTGTGCCTGGCCTCAGACGGCTTTACCATCAATTGGCCCCTGACCTTGCAGAATTTTGCAAGTTAGCCATGTCGATCCGGGATAGACTCCGATAAAATAAATATATAAAATTTATACAATATTAATATATAATTATATAATTAAAATTTTATGAAAAGAGTAAAAAACTATATAAATTATTAATTATTTTTAAATAAATTTTTATTATTATTATTCTTTTTTATTTAATATATGATCAGTTAGTAACTATAACATCTCTTTAATTAAAATAGAATTTAACTATTTATTAATCTAACTATTCAATATTATTTAAATTATATAATTAAAAAATTCTATTTCAGAATAATATAATAGTTAAAAAACTTATAATAAATAACAAGCTATTATAATTATAATTTTAGTCAAAAATCAAAATTAAAAATTAAAAATATAAATAATTAATATCTCTATTAATTAATATAATAAAATAAAAAAATAAAATTTTAATAAAAATAATATTAAATAAATAAAATATTTATAAACTAAAATAATATTTTCAATTTATATATATAATTTTATATATATTAATTTTATTTAAATTCAAAGTTTAATTTTTAAAAAATTTTTTATCTTTTCTATAAATATAATCAAGAACTTTTTTTCTAGTTTAGTATTAAAAAAAAACTATATTTGACTAATTAATTGAATATTTTTCTTTTGATTTTTTTCAGATATTATTATTTAATATAATTTACTAAAATATAATTTAAATTTTCTACTAAAGTATAAAAACTATATTTATTAAAGTTTAAAAAATCTTTAAATCTTTTTATATATTATAAAAGAAAATATATTTTTTTATTATATTTTATTGATGAAGACTTTTACTTTAATTTTATTTTATATTTTACATATTGAATACTTTTTTTTTAAACATTATTTATTTATTAATATATAATTCTTTAATTTTTTATTTAATATATAATTAAAATATAGTTCTTTAAATTATTTTTTAAATTTTTATATTAATTTTTATTACTAGATTTACTTTTATATTTTCTAAAATATTTATATAAATAGATATTTATATTTTTAAATAAAGTTTTAAAAAAATATTAAATATATTTAAAATATCTTTTATTAAAATTATAAAAATAAAAATTTTAATTCTATTATTAATTATGATTTAAATAAAATTTATATAAAAATTTAAAAAATATTAATTATTTAATTTAAATAATAATATTTAATTTATATTTATTAAATATATTAATAAAAATTTTAATTAATAAAAATTTTTAAATAAAAATAAATATTTTAAAAAATTAAAAATTTATAATTTTATTAAAAATTAATATTAAGTTTAAATATAAAATATGTAAATTATAATAAATATTTTTATTAATTAATTCTTTAAAAAAAATAAAAAAAATATTTTTTATTTATATATTTAAATAATTTTAAAAATAAATAAAAATATTTAAAAATTAATTTAACTTTAATATATTTTAAATTAAATTTTTAAAATATATAGAAATTTAAATTAAATTATTTTAAATTTTATATAAAAAAATTAAAGATTTTATAAATTTAAATAAATATAATTTTTATAAATTAATTAAAAATTAAAATTATATTTTAATAAATAAAAATATTTAAAAAAAATTTAAAAATTTTTTTATTAATTAATTAAATATATTTTTTGTTTTTAATACTAAATTAAAAAAATTTAATTAATTTTATAAAAAATAAAAATTATATTTAAAAAATAAAATTTTAAATTTTAATATTATTTTATTATTTTATTATTATTTTTTAAAGTTTACTTTTTTTAATTAATTATATTAACTTTATAAAATTAAATATATATAAATTTATTTATTATTATATATTTATTCAAATATTATTTTATTTTAAAATATAATTTAAATATTTCTTTAAAATTAAATTAGTAAAATATTTAATTTTTAATTTAAATAGATAAATATATTATAGTTACTGATTAAATATATTTTAAATAAGTAAAAATTTAATATTAATTTTATTAATTATATTATAAATAAAATAAAAATTAAGTAATTTATTAAAATATTTATATATATTATAAATTTATATAAAATTAAATTATATTTTATTTTATATGTTAATATATTTATTATATTTTTTTAAATATAAATAAATTTTAAAATTTTAAAATAAATATAAAAATTTTTATTAAATAATAATATAATTTAATTTTATTATTATTAAAAAGTAAAACTTATTAAATATATATTCTACAATGTATATAAAAATTTTCAATTAACTTTTTAACTATTTAAATAATATCATTTGAATTTGATGAAGTTATTTAGCAACTGAATATTTTAATGTAATTTCACACTGAGTGAGATATCCCAGTGAGTGAGACATTATTTCAAAATATCATTTAATTCAACTACTTGTCCACTTCAATGCGTAATTATATCATCAATTTATAATAAAAATTTTTCAAATTCTATTGAGAGAGAAGAGAGGCTTGTATAAGGGACTGAACCCCTAGATTCACACTGGCTGGCTGACTCAGCCTAGTCATCATTTGCATGTGCGCACGTGATCATGCTATGTGAGCTTGCTTAAGCTCATGTTCTCATCTCATTCTTTTCTTCCCTTTCCCAAGCAATTTGTCCTTGTTATATAGGAGGACTAGCCTCTAGTTCTTAGAGCTTAATCCTCTACATTACAAATTGCTTCACTTCTTTCATTGATAGGTCACTGAAAGTCTTAATTCTGTATCACAAAGCTCAGCAAATATACTGATATACAACAGACTATTGGAAGTCTTAAATTCTACATCATAAAGTTCAGTGATAGAACTGATATATGAATAGACTGGGTTAGCAATCATGTTAACAAATGAATGAGCAACATTGAAAATGTCTAGCTAAACAAGATAAAGTAGTAGACTTGTACAATGAATATACAAATAAATCAACATGAAGCAATGAGCAGAGATGCTCTCAGCAGCTTTGAACAATAATGAATGATCTTTCTTCAACAGCAGAAACAGGTTCAGTGTGAGAACAGAGATTTAATAGCAGCTCAGCAAGCTGAAATAGCTAATCTACAACAAGTTTTGAACATCTCAACATCAATTTTCTCTCAATTGAATCTGCAATCACTCATTGCAGTCAGAAGATCAAAGATCAAGCTACTGAACTGCAAGAAGTATGATAATTTTAATCTGAAGCACTACTCTCAGTGAGAGCTAAAGCTTCAATCAAAACTTAAGATCAATGAGAAAGCTTTAAATAATAATGAGGAATATACTTGATACATATACTCAAGATTGAAAGAAATAACAGCAGCTTGAGTTTATCTCTAGATTGAGAATAATAAGAACAAGATCAACTTCATAGTAGAGAGCTTACTGAAGCAGACACACATGCTCTTTAGTGATTTTGCACAACAGAAAAAGGCTATGCAAAAGCTCAACAATCTATGACAGAGTAGAAGAGCTCTCTTTGACTTTCTGCCTGAATTTAATCAGCTACTGATGAAAGCTGATGATCACAGATAAAATGATTATGTTAAAAAGAGGTATTTGAAATTCACCTTAAGCATGGAGCTGAAGGAAGGCATGATGAGTGTAAGAGAATCATCTCTCTATAAGAATTTCTGCAGAGAGCTTAGATTAGTTGATCATCAATTCTCTGAGTTTAAGACTTTAAGACAGTGATTTAAATATCACAAAGACATATCTTCTTCAGATCATACAATATCTAATTCACACTCTCCACTTCATCATGCTGTTCTTGATCAATGAAATCAGTCTCAAGCTTTCACTGATGATCTGATGAATCTCTCTTCTGATACTGTGACCCCAAATGCTCATCATATCAAATTGATAAATCAGACAGAGATTAATCAATGAAGAGAGCAAGGCTTGTGCCTGAGATGTAGAGCTGAAGATCATATGATTAAGAGCTGCTCATTCAAATCTCTCAGACACTCTGTCATCCCCACAATAGCTAAAGTGATTCTCAAGTCAGTACTGGATGACAACAATGTGAATATGAGTGAGGATTCAGGAAAAGAGTAGCTCCAATTCAAAGATACAGAAAGGAGTAAAATAAAAAGCTTATGAAGAAGCAATGAAGAAGATTTAAATCTAAGATGATATTCAAACCCTTCACTGTCAATGCTCTAATAGATAATGCCTTTTCAACTAGAGTAATGATAGATAGTGAATGTAATATCTATAATCTTATTTCTCAATTCTACATTAACAAGCATAAGCTCCTATGCATTGAAATTCCTTCTGTTAAAATGACTGGCTTTGAAGACTCTATAGAACTCTCTATAAGCATGGTGAC